TTTTTGGAAAGCATGAGGAATGATCAGTGGCATTCTCTGATTGGAATCGAAAGCCAGGATGGTGGCATCTAATTAATGTCAGAGCAGTTTGAGGGAATGGTTTGGAGCGTTCCTGCTGCTCTGCTGCAGCAGCTTTGGGAAGAGAAGGCTGGATCCTGGGGCAGCTCTGGGCTCCTCCTGCCAGGAGAGACCCAGAGGGGCTGGAGCGTGTCCAGGAAAGGGAACGGAGCCCCAGGAGGGGCTGGGGGAGCTGGGAAGGGAATGGAGAGTTCCTGAGGAGCTGGGAAGGTAATGGAGAGTTCCTGAGGGAGCTGGGAAGGGGCTGGAGAGTTCCTGAGGGAGTTGGGAAGGGGCTGGAGAGTTCCTGAGGAGCTGGGAAGGGAATGGAGAGTTCCTGAGGAGCTGGGAAGGGACTGGAGAGTTCCTGAGGAGCTGGGAAGGGGCTGGAGAGTTCCTGAGGAGCTGGGAAGGGAATGGAGAGTTCCTGAGGAGCTGGGAAGGGAATGGAGAGTTCCTGAGGGAGCTGGGAAGGGGCTCAGCCTGGAGCAAAGGAGGCTCAGGGGGACCTTGTGGCTCTCACAGCTCCTGACAGGAGGGGACAGCCAGGGGGGGTCGGGCTCTGCTCCAGGGAACAGGGACAGGACAAGGGGAAATGGGCTCAGGCTGGGCCAGGGCAGGCTCAGGGTGGGCAGCAGCAGGAATTTCTGCCTGGAAAGGGAGCTCAGGCCTTGGCACTGCCCAGGGGAGTTTGGAGGTGTTTTACAGCTCTGTGGATGTGGCAGCTGGGGACTTTCTGTATTGGTATTGAAAGTAAAAACCTTTTTCATGCTCTGTGCTTGGCTGAGCTCTCAGAACCTTGGTGACACTTCTGCCAGGGCCTGGCTTTGCCTGTCCCATACCCAAGCCTGAGGGTCTGGACAAGGAGATTGAGCTCTGATAATTCTCCTTTTCTTGCTGGTTAAAGCTTCAAGTGGCTTGAACCATTCTGCATCCCTGTGGAAGCTGGGGATGTGGAATGAGGCTGCCAGAGCTCCAGGAGCCTTTGGCAACGCTCTCAGGCACAGGGGGGGTTGTTGGGGTGTCCTGGCAGGGCCAGGAGTTGGACTGGATGGGGATTTTTGAAGGAGTTTTAAATAAGTTAGAGATGGGACTTGTGAGATTTTAGATAATGTCATTTTGTTCTTATTTTGTACATAGGCAGGAAGGGTGAGTTTGGCTTACATTGTTACAGCATGGCTCAGAAGGTCTCAAGACCCTTAGTTACAAGACTTTTTAAGGAGTTATTGACTGATGTAACACTGCTAATAAGGATACTTCTGTTTTTGACCCAATCCTTAAATATTTCATCTTATGGACTTATGTTACAGTGTAAGCTTTCTTAGCTAATTGTGTTGTGACACAAAAACTTCCAGTACTGCCTTCTAAACTTCTTGTTTACCTTTGTAATTACTTTATTATTTTACACCTTAAACTCTAAAACTCTAACCTTTCCGAGACACTGTCCCTGCTTTAAATTATAAATCCACATTCTCGCTTTCAGCACTTAAGTCTGGAAGCCTTTGCTGAGGTCTCAGATCAAATCCTGTGTTTCATTCTAAGCTTTGGCTTACAGAGTTCTCAGAGTTCCCTGCATTTTGGGTTGCAGCAGGCTGGATGGTCCCTGTGGCTCCTTCCTGCTCAGGGTGTTCCAGCTGTGCTGTGTCCCAGCTCCCTTCCCATTTCCGTGTCCCTGGACATCCCTGCTTTACCTGGCAGCTCAGTGAAAGAAGAAAAAAAAATCTCCTGTTCTGCCTCAGCCATTCAGAGTTCTTGTGGAATCGATTTTTTTTTTTTTTTAATAAATAAACACTAATTACTTATTTATGTGTTTGTTTACTTTAGGGATAGACTTCAAGATTAAAACTGTTGAATTGCAAGGAAAGAAGATCAAGCTACAGATCTGGTGAGTAACACACAGCTTCCTTCAGCAGCAGGTGTTCCTGGGGGGGTTTGCTCTCTCTGGATTCCCTGCAGGGCTGCAGGGCTGCAGCTGTGTTCTGTGTCCACAGTGGTGACTCCACTCCACAAGTGTTTCTGCAGCAGTTGCAGTGCTGTAACCACTGGGCCTGGCTGCTCTCGGGGTCAGGCTGCTGGCAAAGCTCCTGTGGTGGTGGGGAGAGCATCCTCACAGGCTGTGATTTAGTGGGAAGTGGTTTTAAACTGGAATCTTTAAATTAGGAGTTGCCTCCAGTCCGTGGCTATAAATTGACTCGTAGCCTTGCTTTGTGTCAGCAAGAAAATGCAATCCAGGGCTGCAGCAGGGCTGGAATTTTCCATGCTCAGCGTGGAGAGGTTCTGTGTGACAAGAGGCACAGCCTCAGCTCCTTCCTTTGAGCTTCTGTGCTTTGAAGCAGAGGCTTTTCACCAGCTCAGGCCAGGAGAGCCAGGGGCTGTTCCTGGCCCGTGGGGCTGGCTGGGCTCCCTGCTCACATCTGCATTCTCCAGCTCGCTGAAGGAAGGGCTCTGAGCTGGGATTTGTCCCTTTTGTCCCACTCAAAAACCCCATGGCTGTGTAACGTTGGCATCTGGAGATGCAGCTGGGTGTTTTCCAGTTTGGGGGAGCACTGATCTTTCCAGCCATCCCAGGATAATCATTCCAGGATAAGCAGGAGTCATTATCCTTCCTAAGCAGGGCATCTGGAGCCTTCCTGTCAGCAGCACCCCGAGGAAGTGTGAGAACTGACAGAGAGCAGGTTTGGATGGGATTTGGGGAATAATTAGGAATTGTTCCCTAGCAGGGTGGGCAGGCCCTGGCAGCTGGGGCTGCCCCTGGATCCCTGGCAGTGCCCAAGGCCAGGGACAGTGAGGGTTGGAGCACCCTGGGACAGTGAAAGGTGTCCCTGCCATGGCAGGAGTGGCACTGGATGAGTTTTCTGGTCCTTTCCAACCCAAAACATCCAGTGACTCTATGATTAAACTTAAAAAGAAATTGATGAAATGTAAAAACAGAAAATACAGAAAAATGAGGATATTTAATGCAGCTGTAAAGAGCAAGATGTAATGAAGCTGTAGAGGTTGTGGGGTTTAGTGCCTTAGGGAAGTGGAGTTGGGTGAGCTGAGATTTATACAGTGGCAACTTTTAAATGTCACCAAATTGGGAAGTTGTGGCCTGAATCTACTGCTTGTTTCTACCAGATTCAGATTGCACATTCGAAATGAAACTTGGAAAGCAGAAAATGAAACTCCTAAAGAAAAAAAAAATTAAAAAAAAAAAATAAAATCTCACTGTTGTTTCCTGCTTTTCCTGTAGCAGGAGCTTGCCCAGCAGTGGTTCAGTGTCTTGTGGAGGTGTTTTGTGCAGTGCATCTCTATTTCCCCACTGCTTCCTGCCTTTGAACTCCCTCCAGACTTGCAGGAGCTGTGCAGCATTCCCAGAACAATGCAAGGCAGCAGCTGAGCGAGCAGGGCATGGATTTAGGGAAACATTTCCTGTGTAAACCTGAGCATGTTCTGCATCTGCAGTTGCTCTTCTTAAACCTCAGGAGATTCCCGTGGGCCACTTCTGGAGCTTGTCCAAATCCCTTCAGGTGTGGCACCACACCACACAGCAGGACAGCTCCTTACCTCTCCTGGGTGTGGGAAAGGCCCTCTGACACCCTCACAGCCATGCCCTGACCTCTGAAATTATATTTAGGACTAAAGAACACAAAGGTCAGGCTGAACTCAAGCCCTTCCAAGGAACTGAGCCCATCCAGGGCAGATCCACCAGGAGAACGACCAGAAGCAGGGTGGGACATGGTCCTGGACTGCCCTTCCAAGGAAATGAACCTGTCCAGAGCAGATCCACCAGGAGAACGGCCAGGAACAGGGTGGGACATGGTCCTGGACTGCCCTTCCAAGGAAATGAGCCCATCCAGGGCAGATCCAGCACTGTGTGTCAGATTCTGGGTGGAATCTCAGATCCTGCAGGAACTGAGGATCTCCTTGGCTGGGTCATTGTCCAGCTCCTCGCTGGGAGAATTGCTGCTGGGACAGTCAGTAGTGATGGACTGCTCCAGGAGCTGGGAGAAAGCAATTCATGCACATTTGGGAATGGAAACTCTTACAAAGCGTAGGAGCTGGAGGGGTTTGCAGTGCTGAATGGCTGGAAGAAGATTAATTAACTCTGTCATGGTGCAGGGAAGGAATGAAGGACCAGAGTGAGAGAGCCAAGAAAAGATGGTGCTGGCTTTGCTGAAGGACTTCAAAGGGACAGGGTAGTGGAGCTAAAAATTGAGTGTGGTATCTCTGTCACACACTCAGGAACTCGGGTAGAGTTGTTGTGAAATGGAAACCAAAAGGCTTTGGCATCTCTGAGTTCCCAGAACTCATTAACATAACGGAGCCATTGAGAAATGAAATGGGATTTTCCTGATGGTGTGGGCAGGAGGTGAGTGTGGCAACCCCACAGAACACAGGTTTGGGGAGAAAGGGACTTTCTTACGAAGAACAACTGGAAAAATGAGGGTTCTTTGTGATGGCAGAGCACATCTTGAACATCCTGGATTTCCTGAACACGTGGGGAGGGTCTGATACAACTTGCTGCCTTTTTCCAACACCAGAACATCAGTTCTGGCCTGAGGCTGGAAAATGGCTTGTGGAAAATACCAGGAAATGAAGTTTTGCTGGGAAACTCCTCATGGGATGCAGGGGTAGCTGCAGGTACCCATGGACAGGTTCACAAAGGGTTTCACAAGAGCACGGTCAGGTTTGGACTCCCAAATCCACCGAGGGGATCCCTGCTTCCAGAACTCCTTACCCACTGGGAAATGGAAGCTGGAAAACCTCTGGGCTGCCCAGGTACAGCCTGAGGGGCTTGTCAGGAGACACAAAAAGCAGAGCTGGGTTTGTCATCCAGGCAGAGCACAGGCTCAAAGGAATGCAACTGGCAGCTAAAAACCTCATTTTTTCTTTTTTTCCTGCATAGCTGCTCCTCCAGCTCTGCTATCTTCAATGACATTTGTGTGTCAGCCTGTTTTCCTCCAGTCTTCCTGACTGATTCCTAATTTTAGGAACAGCTTTGTGTCTTCAGTGGGCAGCTCCTGGCTGTGTGGAGGACTATAAAATAACATTTTTCTCTCGGTGCATCTTTGCAGGCAACACATTTACATGGCCAGAGAATGTCCTCAGGATCTTGGTTAACTCAGCAGTGAGCTCGTGTCAAAAAGAACTGTGTGGTGTGGCCACCCTGAGCCATCCCAGGGGTGGGAATTCCCTGTGGTGGGCAGGTTCTGGTGTTCAGGGGGCCTGTGGTGACCAGAGCTGCACACTCCTCCACTCCCAGGTGCCATCAGCCTCATTCTTTTCTGCAATTACCCCTAGAATGTCTAGAAGTTAATTCTGTTTGCTGAGGCCTTTTGGAACTCGAGGTGAGAGATGTTCCTCTGGCATGGCAGTCCTATAAAACAGTTGGATGATTCTCTCATTATGGATTTCTCGTTATGGGAGCTGGGGGTGCTCAGCCTGGAGAAAAGGAGACTCAGGGGTGACCTCAGCACTCCCCACAGCTCCTGACAGTGGCTGTGCTCAGCTGGGGTTGGGCTCCTTCTCCAGGAACTGACAGAACCAGAGCACACAGCCTCAACTGCACCAAATTTAGGTTGGATATCACAACAGATATCAGGGAAAAGTTCTTCCCAGGAAGGTGATAAAGTTCTGGGATGGCTGCAAAGGAGGTGGTGGAGTCCCCATCCCTGGGTGTGTTTAACAAAGCCTGGGTGTGGCATCAGCATTTAGTTGAGGTATTTGGGCTGGGTTGGACTCTATGGTCTTGGAGGTCTCTTCCAACCTGGTGATGCTGTGAATTCTGGGAATGTTTTCCTGGCTGAATATTACTCAGAAAAGCTGAAATTTGCCAGTCATGAAGTACCTGACAGAGCACAGAACCCCAGGATCACTGAGGTGGGAGAATCCCTTCATGGCCGTGGAGTTCAGGCTGTGCCAATCCCCACCTTGTCCCCAGCCCAGGGCCCTGAGTGCCACATCCAGGCTTTTTTTAAGACCTGCAGGGCACTCCAAACTCCCTGGGCAGCCCCTGCCAAGGCCTGAGCACCTTTCCATGGCTCCAGCCTGTCCAGATCCCTCTGCAGAGCTTCCTGCCCTCCAGCACATCCTCCCACCCTGGCTGAGGGTACCTGAACGCCCTCCCAGCCCAGGCATGAAGGTGCTGGGCAGGACTGAGGCAGCCCTGAGCCCCTGGTGCCCCCTCCCAGCTGGATGTGCCTCCGTGCCCAGGTTGATCCCAGCCAGGAGTGCTGAGCCAGGGACACTTTTCCCTTTGGGAAATCCTCAGCCCAGTCACTGCAGCTCCTGGTGTTCCCCAGTCCCTCCAGTGCAACACTGGGCTGCACAGTTCTGCAAAAGTAACAACAGTGGGACAGTAATACAATTCTTGGGATTATTTTGCTAGGAATTACTTGGTTTGATATGTTGAAGATCTTCATTTTGAGCCACGTGGACCGGCAGGATGCTCACAAATCATCAGATCTGATCTTTCCTCGCTGCAGCCGTGTAAATCTTTCATCAATAAATCATAATACATTTTAAGGTTTCTTTAGTCTCTGCCAGGTCAGCTGGAAAGCTGTCCCAGAAATTCCTTTCTCTCTAGGTTAAACCTCTAATATGATACAGCTTATGCATATTTTAATGTTGGCATGAAAATAATTCAAAGAGACTTTTCACTTTCCTTGAGCTTCTCCTTCCCCCAGTCCCACAGGACAGCCTCCTTTGTCTTCACAGAGCTGAACATCCAAACTCCCTCCCTGTCTTGTTCTCCTTGGCTGTTTTCAATAATCCTCGCCCACATTCACGTGAGCTGGCAGAGCGAGCCAGTTTGTGCCTACAGCCAGAGCTTTGGAGCCTGCTGCCACCTCCCAGAGGTTTGAACAAAGGGCTGGGGAGCCCCTGCCCTGTGCCCAGGCAGGATCCAGCCCTGGTGGGCACCCAGAGAGCCACAACTCATTTCCTGTTTGCCTCAGCCAGCTCTAATCTCCAGCCATTAGGAGTTATCTCTGAATAATGAATGGAGAATCCATTAACCAGGGGAAAGGGCAGCTGTAGTATTTATTAAAAAAAAGCACCACAAAGGGAAACACGCCAGGTTCTTTGCTTCTTCCCTCCCCAGCCTTCTTCTCTTCCATCAGCTGAGCTGCAGTTGGCAGGAGAAGCAGTGGAGGAGTTAACCAGGCGAGTCAGATGTAGGATGTGACAAGCAGTGAGTAGCAGCTCCGTGCTGCCAACGCCAAAGCTGTGTGAAACCACTCAGAACTGCTCCTGTGACAGCTGCTGGCCGTGGCAGGAGGGAGGAATCACAGATCCCAAAACCCTGCTGGGGTGGGTCAGGCTTCTCCAGCACTGTCCTGCTGCTAGGAGCCAGGGGGAAGGAGCAACCTGGGGGAAGGGGATGGCAAGTGGGTACAGAACTTGAGGAGAGAGAAAAGAATGAGGGTGTGAGTGGAGATCTGTGGACATATTTTACAGGAGTTTGTCCTGAGTGAAGGAAAGGATCCCTCTCTCTCTGGGATGAGCTAGGAAAGGATTAAACTATCAGTTAAACAACAATTAAAGAATTAAACTCCTCCAGATTAATTCACAGAATCCTAGAATGGTTTGGGTGGGAAGGCACCTTAAAGCCCATCCTATTCCAACCCCTGCCATGGCAGGGACACCTTCCAAACCATCCCAGTTTGCTCCCAGCCCCAGTGCCCAGCCTGGCCTTGGGCACTGCCAGGGATCCAGGGTGGGCACCCTGTGCCAGGGCCTGCCCACCCTGCCAGGGAAGAGTTAACAGCTGGGACAAGGAGACGGACTCTGGGTCTTGTATGGAAGATAAGCCAGAAAAGGTGAAGCTGTTAAGTTTAAATCCAGTCAAGGAGTGCATTTAAACGAATAAAAATTCCAGCTGCTCTCAGCCAGCGGGAGAAACATCACTGGAAAAAGTCCTGTGAAATTCAGTGCAGCCAAATGCCAAGTCCTGGGGGTCAGTGTGGGATGCCAGAACAGTCTGCTCCTCGTGAGGCCAGGGGCTGGGATGAGGAAGCAGGAATGCCTGGAGATGTCCCAGCGTGGGACTGCTGGGGCTCCAGCTGCATGTCCTGGGTGTTTTGGGACATGGGCAATTGGGAAGAGCCCAGAGGCAGTGGGAGATGCGGCTCCACCTAAGAACTTTTGTGGGAATGCAGAGCTTCCCTCTGGCTGCCCTGGCACCCTGGCAGGGGTCAGAACCCCCCTGGACAGAGCCCCAGAGACACTGGCTGTGATCTCTG